TTTACAATTTGCTTTCAAATAGTCTTTTCGATGTATAAACCATATCCAGTTACACTTCATTTCATAATGATAACAAAAGTGGTGTAGTTTAAGAGAAAAGAAATTGAACTCATATAACTCAACCTATTAACAACAGTATGTTAGACCTACAAATGAAAACTGTATCTCTTTCAACTCAACAACTCAGAATCAAAATCGCAGTTCTGACATATGTAGGCCCTACACTTGGTCAACCTTTGTACAGTCTTCATGTGACCACTTTAGACAAACAATGCATTTAACCCATTGCTCTTTTGGTCGGCTGTTAATGAACGGCTCCCCACAAACCAGACATGGCCACTCTTCTTCTGACTCAGAATCGCTGGTCATCTTTAATTTCCCTTTTCTTGATTTTCTCTATCGACTAGAAATCTTAAACTGTTTTTTATTTTTGTTGCGCTTGTCCTTTTTAATTTTGTTGGGCTTGGCCTTTTCTTTTTCGAGTAGCTCATTTTCAGGTGTGTCAGTTAGTACTGCACTGCATCGTTTTCTTCTTTTAATCTTTGGAATGCGACGGTGAGCCTTTGGAAAGGGTCTAATTATTGCTGGACTTGAGCTGTTTGGGGTTTTTCTTAAGTGAGCTTTAGCGTGCTGTAGCACCTCTTCCAGTAGGACACATACTGTCGATGCGGAGTGATATAACGTCGTTTTCTCGCGCCAGGACGTAACGTCGGGCTCAAATTTTGTAAAAAATTAAACTTGGTCGAAAAATGGCTATATACTTTAAATAAATGCATACTTAGCAAGTCTAATACGATATTATAATTGTGGGGTATGTAGACTTCATATTCACGTAGCCTTCTACTGAAATTTTGTCGTTTAGAGTGAGCTTGCGTTCGTCAAAGTCGCACTGAGCGGTAAAATTTGACCTTGGCAACATCGTAACTTTGGTCACTATTCCTCAACTAGAGAGTGTGCGGGAAATTCCGGATAAGACATGACGTATCTTTTAATCAATATTGTATGTACAAAAAATCATTAAAATCCATCTTTGGAAAAAATTGTTGCAGAATTTTTTGTACCAAAAATCGTGCAAAATCCAGGTTTTTGCGTCATCCATGACCCAAGACGGGCCCAACTCGGCGTTTGTTTACATTTGCAGATGTACTTTTTTTGGCGATTATCACAGGTTATTTTGGATATTATTACAGTTTTCAATTGATAGTCAAACAATGCGTGTCAGTTTTATATCTAAATTGTTAATTTAATATTGTTGCACCTTCTTTTTCTATGCCCTACTACCGGTACATGTACCTTGCATATGTTTCAATGTGTTACTTATGAAATTATGTAGGTAATTGAACATTTCTGAATCCAAAACTTAAGTTTAAAATAAAATTAAGTTGTTTTCCTTTATTTTCCACAGACAAATTCATCGTTTCTTAAATGAATATTTTAAAGGGTTAAACAACTGTTTGTATGAGATTCACATTTAAGAATAAATAGTGTAAAGAACCCATAGGAGTACAATATATAATCCATTTTACCACCAAAATGGTAGTTTTCACAATTATTTTGGAAACTGTTCTTGCCATCCAATCACATGGTGGCTGTACTCTGTAATAATCTTTTGAAATATTAAAATAAATTAAAAAATTACAGTACAGACTAATTTTGAATGTCAAAACTGATTCAGTACCCCAGTAACTATTGGTAAGAAGGGGGAAATTGTCATTTACTCCAGGAGAATCCATTTTGGGCTGATATGAACAGTTACCTCTTTTATATTCAATAAAAAACAGAGGGTAAAAAAAACAACAGGATGTAATTTTATTTTCAAAACAATGGTACAAGTATACATGCACAGGAAGTCCATATGCATGGGCGCTATTAAGAATTCACAAAGTATTTAGTTATACAGTGTGTAAAAATGTAAAAAATACATAAATAAAAACAAAAAATATTTCCAAAATTAATATAAAATTTTCACTTTCATTGCACTAGGTTGAACTTAATGACTTTCCTATCTTTTTTTTTTTTCTGAAGAAATTTTCATACATGTTCCGTCTTCAAATGCATTATCTCAAAATACATTAGCTATCCTTTTTAAGACTTAAAATAAGAGAAAAATATGCTGATCACCAAGGACAATTTATGTCTTTATTCAATTTGATATCTGATATTAAAATATGGGAACATGTAACTTGCTTCCTAAAAGGGCTGTACCTGTATTTGTGAACACCAGGCATTATATACAGGATATAAATGGATGTAGACTGTAAATATATTCAAAATACCTCTTTTAACTATTCTGACATTTTTTTTTTCTTTTTAAATTCTTGTTTGAATGTGAAAAGCAGTCTGGCTCCTGGAAGTCCAATTAGAAAAAATATGTCCATAATAACACTTGTTTGCAACACTGCCATCCAATTATCTTAAAGAAATACCACCGAAGTCATATTTCTTTTTAAAAATTCAATTTTTATGTTTCAAAAAATGTAAGTGCTGCCAAAGAATACTTTGATAACCAATTTTCACTAAGGGCTTGGTGACAGTTTTTTTTTTAATATGACTGATAGGAATGCATGATAATGATGCAGCATATCATCGTGATCACTTTGCAGGGCACTTCAAAGCCTGGCAGAGATTCTGTAATATCTGAAAACACTGTTCTTCTTTTATCTGGAAAAGAAAATCAGAATAAATTCAGAATTTACAATTCCATGCAACTAAAAGTAAAAACAATCTGTTTACACCCCTTTTCAATATATAGGTCAATTTAACATAAAAAAATTGACTAACAATGAGCGAGGGTCGGAAGATATGTCCAAGTGGTACTTAACTAACACAAGTCTAGGAACTCACATAATAAAATAATAAATACTGGCTTTATCTTTTTTCATACAGAAAATATAAATGGATTATATTTTAAACCTTTATTACTGTTGATCATAGAACCATATGACATTCCCCAATAGATCTACTTCATTTTAACTTAAGTAGAAAATCTACAACTTCAACAGTAAGCGAGTATGTATAAATGTCTCAACTTTCATTTTCATACCTGTACTAGCAAGTCATATCATTGATTTTAAAATTTTCAATGATTTATAAAATTAACCCTACACTTTCAAATGGACCTTTATACTAAAAATGAGTGTTAACTGATCATGAAAAAAGCTCATATTACATAAATACTTCTACCATTCTACATGTATATCCAAACATCTTTTTCCTTACATCAATGTTAGAAAGTTTTAAAAATTTTATCAGCCTGAAAAAAAGACAAGGGGAATGTTAAATCTTGTCAAATACTCCCCTGATCTATTGCTAATTATTACAAATAAAAGGTCATGTATTCTTAATTCAATCAATATATAAAAGCACATTATCTATGCTTCACATGACAGGTGCTCGCAATGCTACGTTATACAGCTACAGTACACGTACGTACTAAGGCACATGTCGTTATGTAATATTAGTATTCTAAATAACACTAGATCAAAAGTTAATCTTAAAACTGAACTGTAGTCGGGTTAGATTACTCTGAATGAGCCTGCGTCGGTCACACGGTGCACATTTTAACAACAAATCTACAAGATACAATGTATAACAAATGTGTTTGATCATGTACAGTATGTAGTGGAGCGAAACTAGCACATTTCTCGTAATAAAAAGCATTTATATATATTTTTCAATCTAAATAATTTGCATACGTACCTGATAATGAGTCTCTGACATGCTATAAATATGTGGGTTCCATATTTCAGCAAGGATAAAAATCATAACTTGCCGCACAACCTACTTCACCACTCCTTGCCTCGTGGTAAATAGCGGGGTTTCGTTGGAAAGCACCTCAGTTCACCTCTCGTTTAGTGGGCGGGATTTCGGTAAATTTACTAAATTTGTATTAAGTTTTTGGTCCTTGATAAAAGGAATGTTTATTCTGTTTCTTAAATTTATATTTGACTTAATATGGGTCTATAAAGGTGCATTTTAGCACCCAAATCTGCGCGTCACATGATTTGTATCACATGACTTTTTTGAACTTCCACAGTTCAAGGTCAAAAAAATGCTGTCGTAGCAACTTATGGAACATCATTGCTTTGCGTGAAAATTGAGGTTAGTCACTAACTTTTTTGGATGAATAAACGTAATTTTAAGTTCGGGAAATGAATGAGATGTGCACTCTTATCGGAGGTGCCTCAGGGGAGAAATTTTGCTCTGTTTTTTCACAACTTTTCTGATTTTCTGTTGAGACTTCTTAACCAGAGAGTGTGCGGGAAATTCCCTTCAAAATCGAAAACCTGGATATATATTCGACCATTTTATTAATTTTAAGCCAATTTCATATTTGGAAACAATTTCCTCGCAATATAGTCCCTCGCTATACAAAAGCATTTTCGGACACGTAAAATTTTCAGTTTTCTGGATTCGGAGCGAAATAATTGTAACTCTGTACAGTGCATTGACAAAAGCTTACAGTTTTTCAATAGACGGATAACTCCTTGTTTAGTCTCTAAAATATGGAAAGTCAATTCACTGTAGTTTTTTCGCAAAGTTTATTTATTTCAGACGTACGCATTTTTCATCGCGCCGCTTTTTTGGCGCTATTTCGTGACGCGGATGTACCAAAAAATCCATGACGTTTCAAATCACACCTAAATCCTGACAGTATGTGTCCTACTGTTCCGGTGAGGGCAACTGAGATTTCAACTGAATCTTTGTCTAAGTTACGAGGTGAATGTTTGTCTTTTCTGGCGGATTTTGTACCGTCGTTCACTAAACATTAACAGCAACCCCCAACCCATTACACAAAACATTTAAAA